AGTGTGCAAGGCAGCACTTAACTCCTTAAGCTGGATAACAAAGCAACTATGTGATAAATGTAGAATAGTATGCACATGTGCAAAACTCTCTTTTTTTTCCTTTCTAAATAGCAGAAACTGAACACTAGATGTAAAATATTTTTATGCCTTTTAAAATTGTAACAACTGCATAAAAACATAGTTTATGTATATCTACGAAATGTATTTAATTAAATTATCAATGGAACTTTTTTGGTCTAGGACGTGGTAGAAGAACAGTAACATAAACAGTGATAAATTAACAAATTACTGATCTGTTGACTTACCTTTAATGACAGAGATCCAGCAAGAAAGAAGTGGTCCACATCAATGACAGAGGCAAGGAAGCCAGCCAGGGTGACCTCAGTGAAGTCACTTTTCTTCCTGAGTCCAATCACTATTGCCCAGGACCACATCCCCAGTATACCATGCACTGCATTATCAGATAAGGCTCGGAGCCAGTCATTTTGCTGAATGAAGGAAAACTGCAGCAGTCTGTCTGCTACAAAGCAGAATATCCCCAAACCTAGACTGGAAATAACTGACGCTGTGCTGAAAGTCTGGAGAAGAGCGTGGGCCTTTTCAGTCTCAGATGCCATGACAAGAACCATGCTGCAGCACACAAAAAGTCATCAGAACACACACTGTGCATTGTCCTTTGTATCGTCAGTTGTTCTGTAAATGTCAGAGATCAGAAAGAAAACTATTAAACAAAGAAAATCCATTTGCACAAAACATTTGTCACCACAGCTACAACTGGGCATTAAGATCCCAATTTCACTGTTTTCATTTAACATTCCCAGGGAATTTCTTATTTCAATTAGTTTACTGACTAGAACACTACAGCTTTGAATTAAAAGACCTACCTTTTTTTAATTAGAACCAGCACAAGTGACAAGGAGAGCTCTAATTCCATTTACTGAAATCTTAAATATTACAAAATAACCTGAAACATCTCTGTGATAATACACTGAATATGTTTTAAGACTCCTTCTTATCCTAAAGACGCGATTTAATCCAATGAAATACTTTACACTGTAACAACAGAAGAAGATTCAGTTTGGAGGATTCTTAGGACTGATGCTCAAAATCCCAGATTTCTCTATAAAACAACTGTTAAAACTGAGTTTTCAATCTATAACCCAAATCACTGCTTTAATTTACATTCTTTGTTAACGTTTGTAGTATTCCCCTGGTACCCTTTCCTGAGCAATACCTTGTTCAGTTTGGAGACTGGAACCTAGAATAAACCTTAAGAAAACCAAACACACTAAAATATCTTCATTATTTGTAATAAATACAAAGACAACCATTTAGTCAAGCAAAGTAATCAAAACCATCTCCTTACAGAGCAAAAAACTACCTAAGCTTTTCCTCAGCATGTGCTCCAGCAGAGAAGCTGGCTGCTAATTTTAGGACTTATCTATTGTCTGCCACCTTACCTTCATAAGTCCTCTTTTTGCAAGAGAAGTTCTAACTGTCCCAGCTGTTATGCTGGTCTTTTTGGGAAGCTATACAGACAGACCACAGTTTTAAAGCCTATATCCTGCCTAAAAATGGATACTTCCCATGAGTTTGCCATTTTTGTGCAATACATTAAATCTTGGCAACCCTTCTTTATTAAGTAAATTGTTATTCTGAAGGGCCTTTTTGAGTGTATTAGACTTCCTAAGCTTACACATAACAATTTATGATTTTAAACATAGTATAAATCTCATAAGACATAGATGTTTCTTCCAGATTATTTACATGCCTGCTGTAGAATTATCCACAAGACAGAACTACTGGCACTCTGCAGAAAAAGAAAAAGCCCACTGAATCATTTATTTAGAAAACATTTAAAAAAGTAAAAGAGAAGAAAGCATGAATAATACATAGACTTTGCACAGAGATAAAAAAGTGGGTCAAGTTTAGAGTCTGTTAACCATGACTGTGCCTCTTCTGAATGAATGTGTAGACACAAAGTATTTAGTGAAACAATGGAAGTGCTGTTTTCTGGTGGGTGACCTTGTGGTATACAGGACATTGCTGAATAAATTCCATGTTAAGGAAAAAAAAAAAGGCAGTCTCTTCACAAATGTTTCTTCTATATGGTCATCATGTCAGATTGGATTTCATTTAAAATTACCATAAAGGCTGTGTAAGAATCTAATCTGTGAAGAGGTGATGTAGCAACATACCTTTAAAAACCACACCAGTAATCAGAATCAAACTGCCCCTGGGACTAGAACATTTTTTTTTTCCATCGCAGGTGCCTTACTCCAGTAGGAAATGTCTATGGTCTATGCATCAGTGCTAATCCTCTGTGCTTTCTGAACCCAGTCTGCCCAGTCCAGTGCAGGAAATACCAAACACCACTTGTTCCATCCTAAACGGAAACAAACCAGGCACCAGTAAGCACCGATATCAGGCAAAACAGCATACATGAAATATGAACAACAGTAAAATATCCAGAAAAAATAAACATATATTTAATTAATTTGTGCACGAATATAATTGAGGTAAAAGTAACTTCAGCTAAGCTTTGAAGCTCTGTAAAGGAAATCAGAAAAAAACCTGTAAACCAAGAGAAGAGCAGAAATAAAAATGGAACACACTAGTAACTAAAAAATATTCAAACACCAAGTCCAAAAACAACTGTTCCAGTCTTCTACATAACTGCATTTCAACAGATAGAGCAATACATTTTCACAGATTTCTTCTTGTGCCTGGAAGATTCCCACCTAATGAAACATTTATGAATCCCATTCAGGGATCTCTTTTTAAATTCCACCCCATCACTTAGTGACCTTGGAAGAGATAAAGAGAGATTCAGAAATTCATTTAGCAACAGAAGTCTGTGTCAGTTGTGTGTTAGGCTTACACTTGTGCTATGGCTGGTATTAGCACGTGTTCCAGCCAGAATGAAGAACAGGATGCAAAACTGGCTTCAGGTTGACCATAGACAAGAGCCATGCCAACTGTTCTTTTTAAACCATCTATTTCAGCCTCCTTTAGAGACAAAAATGAGTGCTGCCTACGTAAAAATCAACTGACATTCCCAGAATTATTTTGCAGATCAAGAGGAAAATCAGACCAGAAAAAGCAAAACTCCGGTCAACTAAAATAATATCTGAAATTATAAATTTTAATGTAAAACTAGAACATTTTTTTTTCTCCCTGAAAAATGACGCTTTTCAGGCTCTCTACAAAATATCACAATAAAACGTAATTTTTCCAGCCTATAAATCTCAGAAAGCAGTTGTGTAGCTTGCATTCTTGCTAAAACAGAAAAGTGCGGAATAATTCACAAAAAAATGCTTATGGACATCTATGTGGTCAGTACAGTTAATATCCAGAAAGGAAGTTCTAGGTTGGTTGAGCATAATCTCTGTCTATAGTCTCAAAATGGAATTTTGTAGATACACTTTAATTTAAGGAAATTACCAAAATAATTTTTATGAACACACAGTTAACACTTTAAGTTACTGTCACAAGAAGATATTTAGATCAAAACTGTAAATACACTTTTGGGAAAACAGCTAAGAGGCTACAGTGTACAAGCAAAACAAAAACCAAGTAGCTAAAATTACCACTTAGAAATATTGTTCTGCATAATTTTTGCCCCAGGTTTGCACTGATACATGAATATATATAGGAATTTAATGCATGAAGTTACAGAATCACAGAATCAATTAGGTTGGGCAAGACATCTGAGATCATAAAGTCCAACCTACAACCAAACAACACCCTGCCAACTAACAGAATTATGCATTCTACACAAGTAGCTAAAATCCCTTGCAATTGTATAATCTCCTAAACCCCTTGTTATTTGATATTGGATATTATTTTATATTAAAAACCGCATTAAGCAGAATTAAGACACCAGCTCAAACCTTTAGCATACAATCTTGTGGAAAAGGAGATCCCAGCCTAAGACTTATCTGAGAAGAAATGACAGTGGCAGTATTTTTGGGTCAGATAATTATAACACATTATTGGACTGATCATGCAAATATTTTTGGGCCAGATAATTACAACGCATCATTGTGGTGATCTAGCAAATATTTTTGGGCCAGATACAATTATAACGCATTTTTTGGGTTTGGAGAGGGCAAAAGCCCAGAAGGAAGCGGGAGGATTTTACCAAGACGCTGAAGAACAAACTAAATTAAACCGAGCAGGAGATCAGCCTGGAAACCCGAGATGAGCAGGAGCGTGAGGGGAGGCGCGGGCCTCGGAGCCGCCGCCGCCGCTCGCCCCGCCCGGCCCGGAGCCCACCTGGAGCGCGGCCGCCGCCATCCGCCCTTCAGCCCATGGGGCTGGGCCGCCCCGATCCGCCCCGATCCCGGCCGGAGCGGGCTGCGGAGCCCGGGGCCAGCGGGCTGGAAAGAGCCCCAGGGAGCCGGTCAGGAAGCATGCGTGGCCGCGGAGCAGGCTGGGACCCGGACCCGCCTCGTCTCCTCCCATCCCCGCCCGGCGCGGGCAGCGGGGCTCGGGTGTGAGGGAGAAGTGTTTCCTGGATTATTAAATGGAGGGTTTGGGTGTTCGGGCTTTGGATTATTAAATAGAGGGTTTGGGTGTTCGGGCTTTGGCTCCTTCAAGTGCCGAGAGGGAAATCGATGATCAGAGTTTAGTGTTTTGTCATTAAGGACATGGTGCGCCTCTGACAGACCACAGAGCAAATTAATTAACAGTATTACTGTTCTCAAAGTAATACTCAAAGAGAGCACTGTAGAAAGCATTTGGGAAACATTTTATTCGGTATTAAGACTTCTTGGTGTAAGCATCTGAATAAAAGCACGTTTTTACAGAGAAAACTTCCTGTGTCTACCCTGGTCATTTCAGCAGCGATTCATCAATCAAGTTGATTTGAACATATATTCAAACATTAAAGCAGCACTGTCAGGTCAGGCCTGACCTGTTTATACAGCAGTGCTCCATTATCTCAACTGTTCTCTTTGCCTATACCAAATATAGCACTGGCGTTATTATTGATATTACACTGGCACCTGACAGACTTCACTGGCAACCTGTCCCTCTGGCTTCAGCCTTCCTTCCTCTCTCCCTGCAGAGCCTCCTGAGACACAGCTGGGAGCATTCCTCTCTCCCTGCAGAGCCTCCTGAGACACAGCTGGGAGCATTCCTCTCTCCCTGCAGAGCCTCCTGAGACACAGCTGGGACAGCTCCTGTGAGGACACGGAACACAGGGCTTCACCTCCCAGAAGCAGCAAGCAGAGATTCAATATCCTGAATGACTTTAGAAGTTTTTTCCAAAGCCTCCAAGACACAACCTTCACTGAGTTCTTCTGTCTCACCCCCGCTTTCTTCTTTTCTGACAGTGATACCAGATGGATTGGATTTTGTGGCAGATGATCTTTTCAGAATGTTGCTATTGTCTAATAAAACTAGTGTTACTTTGTTAAGAGAAAAATTTCTGACTCTTCCTCCTAAAGAGAAAAAAATCTCTGCATTTGTATTCGTCATTCTGCCTTGCAAAGTCTCACGTTTGGTAGCATGGTAATGACATACAGGTGAAAAAAGACTATTACTTAAAACGTCTACAACATTTATAGAAAAATCTAAAAGTCTTTTAGACTTCAATTTATCCAAAACTTTGAAAAGAAAAAGGGTGTTACAGTTCAGTTTAACAGCATGCACTTTTCATACTAATAGAATTGAACACTGGCTTAAAGACAGTTTTCTTTAAGCAGATTCAGCACAGTGCACATTTCCAGCTGGCTGAACACAACAGAACAATACTAAGGTAGCTGATAAACAGAAAGATGCTGTACTGCAACAAGCCCAAAGGCAACTGTGTTGTTCGTCTTTCAAGAACAGATCAGCAGATGACTCTCAGCAAAACTGATGCAATTGGTTTTGCATCAGTTAATACATCAAATTAATACACATTAAAGGGCTTTGTTTTCTTGTGACTTTTCATTTTAGTTTTGTACTTCAACTTTTTTTTTTTTTTTAATATTTACCACAAAACAAGTGATAAAACAAAAAAGATAAGTAAGAAAATGAGGTTGTTTTAAGAAGTGAGACAGTAAAAGAAGATAAGATCAGGACAGAGAGTCTTTGATGATCTAAAGTGCAGATATGAACATGCAGATAAACAGCAGAATATAAAAGGAAAAAAAAAGCTTTACAGCTTTTAAAAGGATACAATTAAATCTCTGTATTTTTTCAATCTCAGCATCAGCAGACCTGTCCAAAAAAATAAAGGTTATTTCTCAAGGATATTTTCTACTTCAGATTTTATTTTTTAATAATTTCCAATACTGAGAATTAGATTAGCAAAATCTGTGTCTTTGACACCACTATTCAATGGCTGTCGTTTGTCAATCATGTGTGTTTCCAAAAATTTGGTCTCTGCTCTAAGAATAGTCTCTTTGCTGTAAGTATGTATAAATATAGATAGAATTTTCATTTCCATCAGTTATAAAATGCTATAAATATAATATAGCTGATGCTGAATCTGCTATAATTTAAGTGGCAAGTGCAACTGCAATTGATTTTAATTAGCACATTTTTAATATCCTAATGTTTGCAGATGATGTCAGTAGATTTTTGGGCAGTAACTAGCAAGTGCAACTGCAATTGATTTCAATTAATACATTTTTAATATCCCAATATGTTTAGAGATTATGTCAATAGATTCTTGTCAGTAGCACATACTAAAAAGGACAAAAACATCAGCAAGAGATACAACTGTCATTAGGCAGTTAAAAGTACTGTTTTAAATGCTTGATGTTCTGTTAAAAACCATCTTTCTTGGACTGATATCTTTTCACTGCAAGACACTATCTTTGTAACATTAACTTTCCTTGGACAAAGTTGCCACAATTCTGATTTTTAAGACAGATAAAGCTCAATGAAACAACCTTCACCTGAAACTCACCAAACATTTTAAACACTGAATAAAAAATATTATATATATTTCATATATATAATATATATGTATATATATTTCATATATATAATATATATGTATATATATGAAATATATACAAAATAAATGGACTTTTAAAACAAATTTTCATTTTTCATTTCATTAGGAAATGAAAGATATAAAATTCAGGTTATAATATTTTTGAGTTTTGTTTTCAATATTATTATAGTCAATTATTTGGGATAAAGATGAATACCAATTTTCTTCAGTTACAGAGTGTGCAGTATATTCAGCAATCTCCTTCCTTTCATTCAAACTTCTGCACCATTCTATTGCTGTTCTGATGTACCTGTGTTAATATGAAAATTCAAAAAAGCAGTTATTTGTTTGAAAAATAAACTCAATTTCAAGAGAAAAATTGAAGGCACTAAGGAATACACCTGGATCTGAGAGAAAAAGCTATGATTCAAAATGTAGCTTTTTCTCCTAGCTTGCCTTGCCATTTTTTGTCTAGAATCTTCTCCATATTTAGATCTATACAGTTATAGTAAATTATAACAAAGCTGTATGTTTTGCAATGAACAGTGTACAAGTGCAAATTTTTGTTTGTGAATATCTGCTTGCTAAAATGCAGCACAGAAAACTTCTGATGATTCCCATAATGAGGCTGTAATTACAGCAAGCAGATTAGAAAATATTCAGCAGGTGGAGGTTAATATCTGTAATAAAGCAAAAATTGGATAAAGTGCTGCTCAGTTCTATATATCAGATCTATATAGGACAAATGCTTTTGGTTTTTATCTACTGAAGTAAATGCTAAGTTGCAGCTCTAGTTATTTTTCTAAAAAAACACTGCCATAACAGTTATAATGGAATCACAGTATGCAGTGGCCCTGAGTCACACAGGTCTTGAATCTTTGCCAGAAATAAGATGGAGCTTTTATCATTATATGTTGGGTCCATCCCTACCAGTTTATTGTCCATAAATACTGTTTCTTCATGTAAGAGGATTTATAAAGAATAATTTTTATATTTAAATTATTTAAATTGAACAACTAATTTAAATTACCTTTCATAGACTCCAGGATGACTTATCTGTATTAGCTGCTGTAGCCCATCAGGAGTAGTTAACTTACACCAGCCTACATCTTCATTTATCTTAGAGAAGGAAAAAAAAAAAAAAACAAAACCCACCCAAATATTAATTTTCTGCTGTAGTCCAAAGGGAAAAAAAAAAAAGAAAAAAAAGCAAGTATAATACACCAATTTAAGAATTAAATATCTTTGAACAATCCACTTTAAAAACTTGAAAGTCTGTGGTTTGCTAGGGACAGAATCTGCTATAGTCTGCTATGACAAATGCAGGGGAAAAACACCTAGCAAAGCCCCAACTCTTGCTTTGTGCTATTCAAGAATAAATTATTTCTAAAAGTGTAATAATGTCTCCAAACCTGTAGAATTCTCAATTCTTTTTTGTTTTTGTATTTTATTGGCATCAGAACTTTTGTTTGCTATTCTCATTAATTTTCTAGTAACACTTTTTCATGGAAAGCTTTAGGACTTAGCTTCCTCTAAGTCACATGTTACCTGGATCTCACTACAGGAAGAGTTGAAATCCCAAACCATAGTCAGGGCCATCCTATCCCAAAAAACAACATGGACTTTATGATCTGAGTACACAACCAGTCTTCCTGTGCTGGGAATAACCTTTTCATGCAGCAAAACTGGCAACATTTCTCGTCCATCAGTCTCAGATACCTAGAACCAAACAAATACATTAAAAACTTGAAGAAAAGCTATTTACATCATTCCAACTGCCTGTATATGTTCCAGATTTTTAATTCACTTGTTTTTCCAGATCACAACCAGCGCTCTTAATCATGCAATTGTTTCTTAAATATAACTTTTAAATGCAGGCTTTTGGGTCCCAAATATCTCACTTCTGGTCTGTGAGGATACACTCACCATTCTTCCCTCTAGATGAAATCCTATTCCCTATGGTCTGTACAATCATCCTTATAATACTGCAAGATTTATAAATTTTCAGCTACATACCATTTTCCAGCAGCAGAGATAATAATTATGACTTAATGACAGTTTTGTTTTGCAGCAATACTGAAGAATTCTGAGGAGAGAAAAAAACCCAAACAAAGTATTAAGCATTTAATTCCTACTAAGTCTTCTAAGCACTTTCAAATTTTGTTTTGTAAGTTTAGATATGCCCTCAGTGCCAAGATAACTTCCTTTATTTTTTATATTTAAAGTAATAGTAAGCGTTCTGTGTAATTTTAACTCCTGTCCTTTCTAAGTCAGCAGAATTAATGTAACAAAGGTAAAGTTACTTGGTTGCCTGAGTAATAGTGGAGGATATTGAGTATGGATGTCCTGGCACATCTGGAGGTAGGCTGCTCACTGAATACATCTTTTCTTCCACCTGAGTAAAGAGCAGAAAGAAGATGAGTTAGTTACAGGTACCGTAGCATGAAAACAGAATTAAGAGCAAGTTATGAAATTTCTAACCTCCCAGAAGCCAACTATAATCACATTTAAATATGCCACAGAACACAGACAAATATCTGAATGACAACTGTATTCTTAAGCCTATGTCTGTGCAAAGAAATAGTCAAATATTCAGTTTCTTTAATCAGTAAGTACCAGGAACTCCTCTTGTCAGACAGCAGACTACAGGTCATTACTGAGTGGCAATGTTTGACTACAAGTTAAAGGCTGGGTTCCAAGAGTACAAATCTCATCCTTAATTCTGCTTGAAAAATACAAGGTGTTGCATTAGCACTTGAGAGGATCTCTCCTCTGGGGGAGTTTAACAGACAGGCACAGAGGCAACATCCTCTTCCAGCACCGAACAGCTGGTCTGAGCAAAGCCAGAACAAAACCTGCACCTTCTAGGTTCTGTCTTCATACAATAGAAAACACTTCCAAATACAAAGAGATTAATCAATACATAAGCTTCAAGACTAAACTTCTAAATTTGTGAGAAATGGTTGTTGCACAATCTTACTCTTGAGTTTGATAAAATAAATGTTACAATGAGGAAGAGTCTTCTTACTGAGTAAAATTTACAAAATTACCTTCTGAAACAGAAGGAATAATCTCCTCTTTTTGTATGACTGATGGCTTGATTAAGGCATTACAGTAATTACCAGTGTAGGGACTTCACTACATGCTGCACAGACAAATGTCTTAAGGAAGCTGCTAATTTGAAGGAATTTGGAACATCCTTTTTAACAGTTCTAATTTTTAAATAGTTTTGTACCTTTTTTGTCCCTTTTTGGATTGCATAATGTGTGAAATATTTTCCCAAAAATTCTCCCTCTGACTTGAAAAATGAGTCATCACCAGGATAAATTTCTGCGATGTTTGTCCTACCATGGATAAATCTAAGAAAAATAACAAAATTTTTAGCAAGTACTTAAAATGCTGTGTCACTAGACAAGGTTATGAACAGGTTATGAAACCTGAAGAAAACAATAAACATTTTCAGACACATTTTCAGCAACTCAGATGTGAAAAATTTCTACTGTTTCACAAACAGTAGAATGTACCATTAATGTCTTTTAACACAGAATATTAACATTACTAGGCTCTTTGTTTGCACATGTGCATGGGAGTGGGATTTAAATACGCGAAGAAAGCTTTTTTTGTGTCAAGGTAAACACCTTCAAGAGCTGCTCATTCCACTGACCACAAAACATAGTGATCCTGTAAAGAAAAATCTAACTTCCTTAGTAGACCAGCCACACCTACAGAAAACTGCCACACTGAACAATTCCTGAACAATCTGAAGGTCTTAATTGAGAAAAAAAAGCTCTGAAAAAAACTCTGAAGTGCTGCTAAACATTTTGTTTAGATGAGATGAAAATTTAGGAATTATACTGAGGAAAAATGAAGAACACTCAGCAGAAAGATTAAAGGGTTAAACACCAGTGATGCTTTTATCAAAGACTTTTAGGTCTTGCAAGTTAATAGCAGCTGTAGCAATTTCAGTTTGAAAGTCTTATTGTTGGTTGGTTTTTTTCTAAGTTTTTTTTTTTTCTTAACCATATGGACAAGGTGACTTGCCAGGAAAATCCACAGCTGAACATGTGAATTATGTAGATCACCAAGATGAACATTTCTAAACAGTGAAATCTTCAGCAAAGAAACCAAGTACCATTATTTTAAGTGAAATCTGTGGGAACTCCAGCTGTCCGGTAAACCTTTAAGAAATCAGATTATCAGATCACTTAAACATGACTTCAGATTCAGGCCTGATAATAGACCGTACTAGAAAATGTGAAGTTCAGTGAACAAACAGCAGAAACAGACTCTGACATGAAGACTGTGCTCCATTTCTCAAAGAGCGAGTAAAGGGACAAAGTAAGACATTTCATCTTAGAGCTTAATTCCCATACAAATAAAGTCTCCCAAATAACACAGATGATCTTCTACATACCTGTAGAAAACACCTTGGCACCACACTACTTGAATTAGCTGATGGAATGAATACTCATCCATATCTTCATTCTGGAAGAAGTCGCAGAATGTCCACCTGTGTGCATAAAATACAATGACAGCCTCACTAAGTTCATATATTGGCTGCTCTTTTGTGCGTGTGTGTTTACTTGTAATCACTTCTGTAACTAGAATTGATGCATGCATACTTATTCAAATGATAAATGGACACATATTTTCAGAGCCCTCCAATTCCTTAGTGATCCACTTCAGTTACCAAATTAAACTTCTCAATCCCACAAATGTTTTTTTTTAATTGTTTTTAGTGATGCTGACAGACAACATATGCCACTGGCCCACCTCAGAAATATTATCTTTTCAAAACTGAAGAGGAAAAACCAACTCACCCTAATACAAAACCTGTGTTCTTTTTTCAATATTCTCTTTTTCGTTTACATATTCAAGAAGTATGTCAGAAAGTATTTTTTTTGATCTGAACTAATTACTGTAGCTTCATTACAGTAGGTTACAGAATGTTGTTTTACAATGTCATGTTTCAAGAAGTTCTTAAAAAACCCACAACTGACAGTAATTTTAAACTTTTTTTTATAACCAGGATTCAATTATTTTGCTAGAAGTTGAAGTTCCAAACTGCAGAATTGTAAAGCATATGGTAACAACTACAAAGTAAAGTTTAAATTACCTGTGTAGATGTGGGGCTCTGCAGCTGAGTGGCAAAGCGGTAGGTAAATAAGAAACTGTATCATGTGTTTCAGGGGCTGCTAAAACGTCACCTTCAACAGCTGTACAGCTGGTTTTCTCATATGTCTTTATTACATTTTCCACAGTATGTAAGTTACAGCATTTTAGTGCCAAGGACAAAGGGTATTTCCACTCTTCTGGGCACAAGGAAACAGTCCAACGCTGTGTAACCCATGTGTATTCAGAAGAACAATTTGTGTGGAACAAAGGGACTCCATCTCCATCTCTCTGGTCCTTTGGTTTGGCTGGTTCCCTATATCTATCTTCAGCACAACCACGTTTACTCCTATTCTCTGTTATTCTTTGTTTTGATGAGACTTCTGCAGCAGAATTTTTACTTGGTGTTCCACACTGATCTCCGCTTTGATAGTTGCTGTTCTTTTCAGAGGAGCGTGAGGATGCTGCAGATGACTGGCTGACTTTGCATAAGAACTCCACTGTAAATTCTTGCTGCAATTCTGACAAGTAAAGGTGAGCATAGCCATCTACAGATGAGATCTTCACACTGCCATTGTCTAAGCATCTTGTCAGATCAGCTGTCGCAGGGTCAGGCCATTTAATTTCTAAGATATCACTGAGAAGAATCTAATACAAGAAAAAGGATTGGAATGTGCAGCAAGATAAAAATGACCTGCTTCTCAGCAATTTCAATGGAGTATTTACATTTAAATTAATTCAGTCCTTCTGCAAGGTGATGTATGGCAAGAAATGTTGCTCTGTATTTATCTATGTGTATGAACTCAGAGGAAGCAAAACATCTAATCTTCATATCTGCTTCTTCCTGTACTAACAAAGTTCTATCTAGCAATAATGTTTTAATTTAATCAAGCCATAAATTAGTAAGGTACATGGGCAACTGACCAAGCACAACTGTACATGTTTGTGTTTCCAATGGCTTCTTCAGAAACAAGGGAGAGAATGGCCAAATTATCTTGTTCATAGCAATTATCAGTGAATTTGATAAAGAATTGCAAAAGGACACTAAAAAATAATCAATACCAGACAACACAGCTGCAGGTAAAACTTCAGTTGAGATAAACATAATTTCAATGGGAAAAGGCAATCCTAACTATATATAGTTACATATATTTCTGTATAGGAGGATGGGCTCTGAGCTGACCACCACCAAGCAGAATCCTGGTGTTGTAATTCTCAATGCCATGAAAACACACTCAATGCTTACCAGCAATTTAATCAGTATGAAATGTTTGAAAGTTCTAGGAATGGAACAAGAGCAAACTGAACATACAGCGATACCACTGGATACATATTCACAGCTAACCTGCATTTTGAATACTAGCTGCAGTTCTCAATAGGCCAGACCACTGATGAGATCCCCCTCATGGAGCTGTGTAGACTAGCAGGTGGTTGGAGTGGCCAAGTGAGAGCCTAAGCACATCACAGGGCTGTTCTGAACTCAAGCATAAGGCAAGTAACACAGTCTAAGTGTTTTTGTGGCCATGAAGGTATTGTCATGGTAGTAACAGGCCTCAGGCCTTAGGTTAACCCTGCTAGGCCCTGGGCTGGCCTGTCAGGCTCATTAACAATTTGTTATGAGAGCTGAAGTTTACTAACTCTTACTTTATTATGGTGGACCACTGGAGTGTGGGAAACAGCAAGGGCCTTGAAAACATGGGCACTGTTTGATAACAGGCCACAGAACAATAAAGTGGCAGTAAATTGCTGGACAAGGACAATCTCAGAATTTCTAAAAAGAGTATTTTGGCTTTAAGAAAAGCAGGAGTTTTTCTCAAAGTGAAGGGGAAGAAACCAAATCAACAGAAAAGGGGTGTGGGGGAGAAGCCAACCAACATGGTAAGGTGCTTGCTGTGGCCTAAGAAAGTTATCCTTCAGCATCGTTCAGCAAGTCACAAGGGATGCTGTAAGTTAAAAACAGTCTAGAAATTCAGTCAACCTCCAAAGCAGATCATTCAAGGCTGAGAGAAGGTGGAACTTACCCCTCAGTGCTAAGAGCAGAGAATCAGCTCTTTGCTGCTGTACTTTGCACTGAATGCATGACTGATAAGGACTGCTGTCTTTTAATTAAGTATATAGTGACACTGAGTGACAGTGCTTTAGGCAGCTAAACATCAGCATGAAGGGTGTTACTACTGAAGGGTCAGTCTAAAAGCTTTAAAACTCACCTGATTAATCAGGTGTCTTAAGATTCCCACCATGCTGTGCAGACAGTCATATTCAGTGGGAACACCTAGAGGTGCTGATCTGGAACAAAGCTTCCAGAAATACTAATTGGTCTCTGCATGGATGTTCTGACCTGGAGTGGCCATTCCCACAGAGAGACAATTTGCTCCATTCCTCCCACAGACCCCAGCAGCATTTTCACAGCGGTACTCCAATGGGGAGATTTGACAGCCTTGGAAAATACCATCCTGTTGCACTGTGACCTCCCTGAAAAGTTCCTACTGCCAAACTGTAACAACACACCAAATGCTAAGTTTTACCCTTGCCAGGAATAAAATAACTTTTAGTGTTTCTTTCTACAAAGAAAATGCATTAACAGTTAAAACTGTAACAGTTAAAACTGTAATTTAAAACGGCAGAAATTTAAGAAATATGACATCTCCATTAGCCAAACTGCACTTGACAGATCTTCAGGGCCTGTACTCACACACTGGCATGTGAAGTTATATTAAATCCGCTAGAGAAGTTTTTTTTTTTTTACCAAAGCATTACTCGCCTAATGTGTAATCCCACCTTTTTTCTTTCTGGAGGTATAACACGTGAAGGCAAGTACGGGCGAGAAGAAAACGCGTTCCGGAAATCTAGCGCTCGCAGAAGTTGTTCCTGTTGAAGTGCAGAGAAAAACAAACCCTATTACGACTTTTTACATGCAGTGATAACGTTTTATGCTGATTTCATGGAGGTGAAGCTATGAAACCCGCTCCGTTTTTCACAGAGAGCAACAAGAACTCCTGCTGGGACCGTGATCCCCGGGCCGGCCGGTTCCCGAGCAGGGAGGCAACTCTGGCACTGCCCAAGGGATGCTCCCAGGCACGGCACAGGGACGAGAGACAGCGCTCCCGTCCCCAAAAGCACTGCCCACCGCATACCCGGTAGGCACTGACGACAAAGGCGACCCGCTGGCGGGTGGTCTCCGCCGGCTGGAGCGGGTGGGCGGCCGCGGGGAGCGCCGCTTCGTACAGATACTCGGAGCCGCAAGGAGACAGCAGCAAGCGGGACCCCCCCGCGTAGTGCACCTCCACCGAGTCGTCCCCGAACAACACCATCAGCCTTTCCGCCTCCATCGCACCGGAGGCCGAGCTAGAACCGCGGGCAGCGCTCGACCGAGGCGGCTGAAGCGACCGCGCCGCCGCACGGCGGGAACCGCGGGGCAGGGCGGGGCGACCGCCCGAGCTGCCGCCGAGCTCCGCCCGAACTCGGACCGAGCGCTCGTCGAGCTCCGCCCGAGCTGCCGCCGAGCACCCCTCGATGTCGTGCTGAGCTGCTTGCCAGCGCGGTACGTCCTTGAGGTATCCGTGCCTTCCTGCTCTCTCAGGCAAGATGAGCGCATTCCGTACACACATCTGTAAAATAAGCTTGAGGGAACCGCACACGGTGTCCTTGTACTTTCTTTTTCTTAATAAATTTAAAAATAAATTTTTATTTGCTGAAAACGGAAGGGGGGGGGGGGGGGGTGTGTGTGAGGAGGGGTGAGCCAACACACAGCTCTGTACCTAGAACTGGGCAGTAGAAGCCCTATCTGAACAGAAAGACCAAGATGCCAAAGGATAATTTTAACATGATGCCTAGTTGCCTTTTTTTGACTATTATATACACCCTCCACCCCCACCAATACTTACCGTTTAATCAAAGCTGTTTTAAGTAGATTGGCAGTTCACAGCTGAGTGACAATTATTATCAACCCCCACTCCCAGCCCTTAGCAAATGCAGTTGACTATCCCCACTAGTCCATATGGTCTCTGTTAGCTCCCTTACTTGCTTAGGGAAGTACATGTGTCTCAGATCAGTGCAATCATCGACTGCATTCAGTACAACTTTCCATTCTCGACAGCTGTTGTCTCACCAGAGAGTAGATCAACACCCAGTCAAGTGGCTGCTGATTCAGCCATGCATCAAAACAACCTGATTCTGTTCAGAATACCTCTTTTTAATGAGTATTATTCTGTTCAGTAGTTGTCTGAAGCAAGTTTCAAAGTATATATTGGGATTATGAATGAGTTATGAATATTATTATTTATGGATGATACATTGCATTTTGCTCACAATCTCACTGCTCTGGTTGGAACCCTCAGCATAGGAACTGTGGAAGTAGGTCACACAGGCTGAAGCAGAGGTGGCAATCAGCAGTTCAGGGTACAATGTAGCATCTTCCCTGAGTTTTGGCTGGAATGTCATTTTCTGTTTGGTATCAACTAATGATCCACATTAGTTGATCCACAGGCATCAACTGGATGATTAGAACTATAATTCAGTCAGAGAGAAGTTGCAAACTTCAGCTGTCAGTAATTCAATGAGTTGTGTGTAGTAGGAAGGAAAGGCAGAACGTGACAAGGAAATAATATCCCAGTGAAAAATAAAGATTACTAGTACAAACCAGACCGGGTGTCATTAACATTCACAATGGATTTTTCTATTGAAAAAAACCAACCTAGCTATGTGCAGTTTGTGATACCTGTGATACCTGATGTGGTTGGGCCAGTCTTGCTTCTCTCTAGTGGTACAATTATTCTAAAACCCAACAGTTAAAACTCAGTGAGCTCATCTGCTTGAAAAAGAAAAAAAAAAAAAAAAAAAAAGCCAAAGGCCAGTATCAAGAACTTCTTCGCATATTTTAAAAGGAAATACTGAGAACAAGCTGCATTTCTGGATAAGAAAATCACACAACAGCAAAGCACATGCAAAGCAGCAATTCTTCCAGCCCATTTTGAAATTCCTTTAAACCAAGTGTGATTTTCAAATACCAAATATTTTTGCTAATCATAATAATTTGTCAAGAGTGGGAAATAGTGTGCCTGCTTTTATTGATCTGCAAAGCCTAGGTCTCATGCTCAAATTTGAATGTGAAGCCTGTTTCTTTTCAGAATCAGTGCTAAAGGACCTTGCTTCACATCTCCCCCAAACTTTGCTTTCCATGCTTCTGTGCCTTCACTGATTTACCATTATGCTATTAAGAAAACAAATCTTTTTAAAAAGTTGTACATTTGCAAGGCATTATTCAGAAACCTGTAGATGATAAACACTTACACAGTGCATTTGAAATTTGTAAATGCTAAAATTCAGGTGAAATAACGTTTAAACCTCTTGTGACTCATTTCTGTCATACACAGAATAATGGGCAATTAAGAGTGGGCAAGCAGCAGACAAGGGGACCCTGACAGTGAGAAACCTGCTGCTTTCTTTTGCTCTCTCACATTCACTAGCTTGTATTGAAGTTCTGCAAGATTTAAGACAAGTGGGAAATACTTGAGTGTTTAACTGTTTTTTTTAATGCAGCAGGACAGTTAAAACCAATTTTTTTCCCATTGCAGTAAAGACTGAAAGCATTTACAAAGTTCATATGTACAGACTAGAAACTTTTACACTAGTTTGAATGAAAGTCTCACTTCATGATTTTTAGTATTTTCAGTGGAGGAAAAACCTTGTAATGCAAACTTGACTTGAGTTGTTCTCTATATATAGCTCCTAGTTCTTGATTTTTTTTACCCAATGATTTGGCATGATTATTATCTACTAATAAAATTACTGTTTCCACAAGCTGACAGTATATCTGGAGCTGACAGCTACCTGACAGAAAAAGACGACTCACCACAAATCATGCAAAACTAAAACATGTAAAATGCATGTCCCTTTGAGTCACTGTTACCTTACTGTAAAGCATATAGGAATGCTTGTTCCTTGGGACTTTAAGTTCTGAATACAAATAATTTCCACAATACATCTGCTTGTAAAGCCAGCTGAAAGTCTGACCTGTATTTAGATTAAAAATTTTATATGAAAATTGTGCTCAACTTAGAGAATATGTATTTGAAAGTCATCTAGTTTTTACATTTCTAGTTTCTGAATTTTAGTCTAAAGACTTTGGAATGCTAATACAGTCTTTATGATCATACTGCATTTTGATACCTTTTATTTTTCCAGCAAGAATCAAAAGATAATCAACCCTGCAATTTGTACTTTGAAGAAGAGAAAGGAGTGCTCAGTGAAGGACAGATACAAGAAGATAAAATATCGTTTCTGTTCTAAAGCAAGAAGACAAGGTAGTGATATTATACCAAAGGAAATAAAGCTAGTTAAATTTTATTTTCCAAAACTTCAACCTAAATAAGTATGTTAAATAAACATCCAGAAAACAGCCACTGCTTACTCTACTAGCAGATGCACAACTTATTTAACCAAACAATTAATAGTGAAATATTATCAGAATTATTTACATGCATATTTACAATGCGTGTTCTTTAGAGTAGCTAACTGTTGGGAAATACTTGTGTTTGTTTTTGGTAACAATTTCTACTCAAGTCTAACCAGCAACAGGTAACAGGAAACAGTTCAACTGAGTTTGGCAACAACAACAATGGAGCATCCTAGGAAAACTAACATGATTATATGGAGTCAAAAAAAAGAGCAGTTGGCCTCAGAATGTTAACATTTATGAAATATATGAATTTACTCCAACTACAAAATTAAATCAAACTACATAAAATTAGAAGAATAAAAGAAAGTTACAAGGATTGGGAAAGGTTAGACATGTTAGATACATTACTAGAAACAAAAGCAAAAGAAAAAAAGCACTGCACATACTCTTGAGAAGCATGGCTTAGAGCATAACTGTATTAATATTGCCTTGAAGAACACAACAAATTACAGAACAGCTTTTCTTGTAAATTTGAAAATAAGCTTATCTGAACCAAAGATCTTGAAAGCACCTCACTTCCAAAATACTGCTTGCTTTTTCACATATCAACATGTAACATATTTATTCCAGGAAAAAGGAAAAGTCCAGACCTCACCCATGTGTGTTTCGAAAGAAGAAGAAAAAGGAAATGAACAAAACAAAAACTCATACACAAAACTTTCACAAGCCACTTTTCATGATTGTGATATACATGAAAAAAAATTTCTTATTTGGATCATACTCTTCTTGGAGGGGGAAGTGGAGGAAGTAAATGCAAGACATATTGTATATGGTAAATAGGATGAGTAAATCCCAATATATACTAAAGCAAACAAGCAAGCAAATTCAGATCATTATTCTTTCCCTTTCTTCCTCAAGGGAAGTTTTATGGGACAGTTCCCCATTAAATTTTAATTTCAATTATAACTTTTAAATAATTTTTATTGCAGCCAAAACATTGTTCAAAAAACATTTTTCACAAAATAAACTATGATATATACACAACATTTTAAGTTACAGGGCATAAGTTTACATTTTTTGGCAGATTGTGTTAAACAAAATGGAAATAGTGTAACTTTAGTACTTGGAGAAACTCAAGTTTCTCATTTTGGTACAAATGTTTTGTGTCCCCCTTCACTCTAACCATACCTAAAGTGGTTAAATAAACTAACATTAATACATAACATCTCACTGTTTTCTGTTATGTTCTGATTCTAGACAGAATTTTTCATTACGAAGAAGTTAAAGACCTAGGTAGACATCATCAATCTCATCAAAATACCTGAGGGGAAAAAAAATTACCAAAGATGTTAGATTTTCAGAGCCAACAGATTTTTAGAATTTGTGTAGGTGTCAAGAATAAAACAAAGCTTTACAAATTACTATTGTTTATGACATTTTCCTAAAAAGAATGAAAAGGAAAAAATAATGGGTACTAGGAAACAAAGAAACCTCAAAGCAGCACAGATATGTTCAAATACCTACAGTGTTTGCCACCTTTTCAGATCACCTTACGCTGCCCAGTTTAAAAGACAGAAGTAATTTCCAAGAGGATGGAAAATGCAATCATGCAATCCACGCTTCCCAAAATTTAATAATGCATCTGTACTGATCCAATTACAAAAAAACGTAATTACTAATATGTTGGTGTAATTTTGATTGGTCAACATCCTAGTTCAAAGACAGAATACATTAATATAGAAACCCTGCATTCCTGTTTGTTGATATGTAAAAGAAGGACATAGAAAATGTGTAAGAAAAGGTTTTTGCTTCAAAGTGTTGTGCATTGAGGAAGTAGGCTACGTATTTCTCATTTGTTCCTTCTTTCTTGTAGAAGTGTAGCCTACAGACAAAAGAGGCTCACCCTCCTCCCTGATGTCATCATGAGAAATAGCTGACAGAGAATCAGCAGACATTTGTCTAAGCTTTCTTAAGCCTTCAACAAAGCAGGTTACAGTCACCTTCCTTGAAGGTTTACTTAGAGTGTTCTACATGTCACTCTTAGGATTTGCTGTGTTTTTTAACGGATATCTGTGTTCAATTTGCATTTTTCTTCTAAGCAGAGGTTCACATGGGTCTTTTTTTCCCTTCAGTATGAGCTTGTTGATTTCTGATGACTTCTCTAATATATCTTCCAAAGTTCTTGACATTCCCCTCAGCTAGGTACACACTGAAAGTTTTCTAATTTACTAAAAAAATACTAATCCAGGCCTGCACTCTTATCACACATAAAAACAACACTGAAAATGTTATTGTGTGTCAAATCATGGTCTGAAAGACCTCTTCTATGAGCAAAAAGCTCAAGCAATTTATTTTAGACCATATTTCTTTCGTATAAACTGGTGCCAAAATGTCAGACTACATTCTTAACTATTGCTTCCCCTTTTCCCATTAGTTTGTCTTTTTTTCTCTACAGGAATACTGAGTAGTCCTCCTAATTGAAGGGAATAGTCCTTAGGCTGAAGAGAGGAAGTTAACACTTTCTCCCTTTCAAAGACACTGGAAATTCGGTAATCATCTCTTGCTGGGATGTTCATGCACATCAGTCAAACAAATTTAGGTTGCCTCTCTACAAACACTTGAAGGCTTGGTGCTTCATTTTGCTTGCAATTTTTTTCTTAAGTGAAGAAGTATATTTGCACATGTCCATAAACATCTGAGTTACATCTGAAATGTAATTACCATACTCAGTAGAATAAACATGAAACAGGTTTCAAACTTGTGTGATTAAAAACCAATTTAAACCTGAACAAATGCATCTACTGTAGAACCAAGTAACAAAGTAACATTACATTATTTAATTACATTATTTAATTTCATTTTTGTCAACACTGGAATCCTAAGTCTAAACTATCGCAGCATCACAGTAAAAATAACTATTATTAAAAAAATATGTCACTAAAAAACATACAGCTCTCCAGGTCCTGACAGATCTGCTCCATTTTCTTCATAATATGGAAACAAATCCTCTCTTTCAAGCAGCTCTTGGTATTTTTCTTGATAATCTGGCAAAGTAAAAATGAGACTGAGTAACATATAAGACTACTCTGCTAAATTAACAGAAATACATAAAGTTTGAAAATTGGCTGGTTAATGAATTCATAAAAGGCAGGAAACATATTTACAGGAAAAGACCCCTTTGCAATGTTTTCTCAGGACATGAATGGATGTCTAGGAATGATGGCTAACTTCTCATAGAACTGCAAAGGTTGTGACAGATGTCTTTACCTCAAATTATGTTATGCCCTGTTGTGCTCAGATTACAGATAAGGAGACCAAGGATTTTGATTTTATTTTGATACTACAATGGACAAACAAAAGAAGACTTGAATATTTCTGGTTTTCTGGAAAGGTCAGGTGCTGTGGACTACTGGACAAGTTCTTCTGAGCTACATGAACTCAAATGCACATTCTCCATTTCAAACATCTACCTTCTTTAATGCAGAATAAATCCTGTGCTCTACCAAACCAGGAATTCAGGCAGAATTTTGTCTTTTAAGTTACATAGGTTTTAGATTCTTGAAGAATAACACTTCATGTTATTCAACAGGCCATAAACTTAATTACAACTTATTAAAGAAGATTGAGAAGACAGGTAAGGTGAACTTGTGCCATACCTGGGTCTGCTGCAGTCTTTCCTTGCGGTAGTGAAGTGTAAAACGTTGGTTCATTCTAAAAATAAAGTCATACAGAAAGTTATATGTATTCAGAGAGAAAGAGGTTTGTACTTTTGCGTAATGCAATTATCTATGAATCAAACCAAATTCACATGAATTAAGGAACTGAAATGTCCATATATTCTTACCATAAAATAGTTTGGGTCATTTTCAGGGGTAGCTTCTGCATGTGGAGTTGTTCCAAGAACTCTACCCCAGTTACTAGATCGCAGTTCTACTAGTTTCAGAAGCATGTGTTTCACATCTCTGAAATAGAGAAGCACAACAGTTAGAATGTTTTGTGCCAAGCAAGAAATTTGGCTTCTCTTACTGTGCAAATACAAGATAGTTAAATCCATCCAAAAAAACAAGTTCAAGAAGGATAATATTTGGTCCATTGTGTAGATAATTTTGAATTCAATTTTACAACTGCAAGTCTAGATGCTTTCTGTGCCAATTATGAGATATTCACGCTCTCCACTTCCTCGGCTGTTAAGTAAGGAGCTTACATGAAAAAGGAAATTTCTGTAGCTTTTACTGAGATACCACACCTGGCAGTACAAGCTGAAGAACACAATGCTTTTTGATAAAAGGATAATACTGGGAAAAAAAGGAAGATGACCTTCAAATTTTATTTTAGTTACCTATTCTATGCTCCTAGCTTTGGTCTTCTTCATCATAATGAAATGTTTTAGTCAAAAGTAAGAAGTAATGCCCCCCATACCTTAGATACCAACACCCATTTCATCCCTAAAATAAGAGAAAATTCCTTCTTCTTTCAAGCTAGTTTATGGAGAAGAGTATCATTAAAGAATACAAAAAAATAAAAAATCAGTTATTTTCCCAGCTGAAACTGATGCCAAATTGATTTTTGCCTTTTAAAAAATATATTCTCTATATTCTTTACATGTATATTTATAGCTCCGTAGCCTATTACAGTTTTTGCATTTTATCTACTAGCTAGCATTTTATCTACTCTGTTAGACAGAATGACAGAAGAAATTCCTCAGCAGCTCCAAGCCACTGGTCCAAGGTTATTCTCTGGGAAGCCAAGGTTGAGACCAGCTGTCCCAGACACATTTCCATAAACAAAGTTTAGTTCCTATCTGAGCGGGGGAGGAATTCAGAAAGGGTTGCCCTGGGGGGGAATTACCTCACCACTTATGTCTCTACCTGGGGATCCCTGTCAGTTATGCTAATTTGCTAAACATACAGAAATTGTACACACATTATGCTTGGTGTTCATCTTCAGCTCTTTTCCACCAGTGAGTTGAGCACCTAAAGATCCTTGTAAGATAACCCCTTTTTGTCACCTGTGTCTGGCTCATGATTTTAGGACCAGCAAAAAGGCATCAAAATTTGTTTGTTGTTCTATATATTTGAAGCCTCAGCTTGTGCTGTCTATTTTGGATCCTGAAGCAAAAATTTCCTCATCCTCCTTGGGGTCACCTCAGTTACAACACACAGATGTTATGAGCCACTCTTGGCCTCTCTCCATATGGTAACAGATCAGTGTCTGAGTCCTCTACAAGTTTTTAGTAAGTTTGCAAGAAGCTGAGGATGAAGCACAGCAGAATCAGATAACCTCATGCACACTGGTGGTTTTATAACAGTTTTTTGATAATAGTCAGCTACTGATATGTTACTAATACATTAGTCAACCACTCATTTTTTTCCAGATTAAAGCTAAGACCTTCCCAAACAGGTACGCTCTCCAGAAAAAAAAAAACCCAAACAAAAATCAAACCACAAAGTATATTTCATTTTGCCTTTACATTTATAGTAATTTGTATGTATTTAATACTGCTACATATTTAGTACTTTTTGTATGTATTTAAGGCTGTTCAATTCAAAACTGAAAGTATAAACTATGAGATATTGCCCCTATTTTCTCTTTGTATATACTTGCTTGAAGAGCCTAAAGCACTTACCGAAGACATTGAGACCTAATAGGTTAAAAAACCCCAACTGAACAGTGGAACTTGAATCTCTATTAAGAACTAAAATACAAAAAACCCACCCCAAAACAAAATCAACTCAACTGCAAAAAAAGCTACATTACCCTTCAACTGAAAAACATCTTTTTTTTTTTTTTTACATGGAAAATTACCTACACACACAACATGTTAATGTTCATAAATATAAGTTTCAAAGATAATTTTTTGGACTTGTTCATTATAGTTGAAGATTTTTCAAGGTGTTCTCTTTCATATAAACAAAACACTGCACATAAACTTATCTTCTCACCTGCTACAGTTTGCATCCAACACAACATTTTCAATTCTCTGAATCATTTCCTCCATATCATTCTTTCCTTTTTCTTTCCAGGCATCTTCTAAAACGGAACCTGTCAACTAAAGAAAAGGGATTAGTATTTTTTTAAAGAAAATTAGAAATCCTTAATAAACAGTCAACTTAAGAGATTCTGCAACAATTCATGACAGACACTTGGATTACCTGGTGGCTGACACTCCCAGCTGCCTGTATCTCTTTGCGAAACAGATTAGCAGCTCTCATAAATAGTTTATTTTAAACTACAGACAGTGTAGGAGCTCTGTGTCCAATATTTATGCTACCTAGAAGTTCAGAACCACTTGCTTCAGTCTTGAAATATGATTTCAAAACAACTCTTCAGTGACATTGGTCAGATCTTACTTGATTTTAGTACATATTACCATCATTTATTTCCTTTAAATCTTATTTTTGCAGCTGATTCCACCAGTTTATATGACAAAAGGAAATACTTTATTGAGCTTTAGAAACACTTCTGTCAACTTGACCAGCATCACACATGCCAGAGAATTTCTTCTGGGTATATATAAAGGAAACCAGGATTATATGAAGAAGCCAACCTGAACTTTAATATGTCAAAGTCTATGAGGCTAAAGCTGCTGTCAGGAAAGCTTTAGCAGTCTAGAGCAGCTGTGGATGAAAGCTTTTTACTACAAGAATAGGTATTTCATTGCCCAATAATTGCACAGGAGGAGTTAAATCAGAAAAAAAAATAGTTTGCCACTAACAGCAATCTCCTCAGCATAAATATTACATGATCAAAAATGCCTGGAATGGTTTTTTAATGACACAAAGGGATAAAATCCCAAGAGAAAAGCAAGTATATTGGTCAGCATTTGCTTGCCATTCGTAGTATTCCACAGTGGTCTCACCTTAATCCTGGATAATTAGGAAATAGCATCAAGATTAGTTAAAAATAAACATATTGCACAACAAACAGAGAAAAACCTCTATCACTGTATTAAATGGGAAAGATAAAATGAGACATTTATTACTTCAGTAGTGAAACCAAGGTTTCACGAGGCAGCCCAGTCTAGCTACATATATTCAACATTTGTGGATACTATAAACATCAGAAAACACTTGCATGAAAAAACAGTCTCTGTTCTGTAACACTTTTTAGATATAGCAATGTGTCATAAAACAATTTAGATGACTGGTTTTCTTCTTCCTCTTTACTGCACTGTAAAGCCTCCTGATTTGTGTATTGCTGCTTAAAAAGGTTCCTCAATGGGCCTTGCCTCAGGGAAGCACTGCCAACATAAGGACTGACCACAGGAGTGAATGTGCTCTCTGAGCACAATCTAACACTCGCTGTCAAGCAACCTCCTTAAACATCCAAACGTCAAATGAAGGTTTTAAATTACAAAAATCTCTCTTCCCTACTCTATGATATCAAAAGAAGCTGTCAGAAATGAAATTCAAGATAGAACAGGCTGAGAAGCAGTGGAGTATGAGGAAGGGTAAAGAATGAGGAAAAAATGTAAGTCAACCAAAAATCTTCAGAAACATACTATTTAGCATTTACCCTTCATTCCTAATTTAAACTGTTTTCCCAACTATAAGTATAATGATACCTAGTGAAGATAAGAGTTTCTCTTACACAGTGGCTAACCATTTTACAAGAAAAGCTATGGGTTATGAGCAAAGGGGTTTATTCCCAACATGAAAGAGAAACTTATATATTTCTACAATAGTAATGACACAGCACAGAATGAAGCAACAGATATTAAGAACTTTTTGCCACAAAAAGTGGTGGACCCCAATGGCCAAGTGTCCCTCAGAACACACAGCATACCTAAGATATCACAATTCATTCAGACTGGTTACAGTTTTCTCCCACACCAGAAGCAGCAAAATGAGATCTAGGGGAACCATGCATTTGTTGGCAATTTAACTTCAGTTCTATTGCTCATTTGTACACAAATGGCCTTGAATTTATTTTTAGAGCATCTTGTAACTTTTTTTACTGGCTCAATTTCCAAATGGTACTAAGGAAAACAAAAAAGTAGTTTGCTCTGCTAATACTGTAATGTATAAACCCCTACAAATACTTCCTCATTTGGAATTTACCCTACTATTCCCTATATTAAAGCTAGGCAGTTTAAAAAACTTGATTTTTTTTTCTTTTAAAACTACTGTCTCACCTTCAGCAGTTTCACAGCACATATCAAATTACTGTCCACAGGATTAGAAAAGAGTGCATTCAGTAATTCCCGAAGGCCTTCTTGAAGAATTTCTGCCCGTGTAACCTGTCCCTTTGTTCCTTTAATCTGCAAAACATATAAAAACCCCTCCAATATTCAAAATACTTAAGTTTTAGTAATTAATTTGGGCACATTTTCTCTGTTGAATACTGTATTATTTGGTTTGTGATCAACACCGTTGGCATCTATATGCCAAACACTGTAACCATTTTAGAGCACAGACTTTCACGGAATCATAGAATGGTTTGGGTTGGAAAGGACATTAAACATCATCTAGGTCATCACCTACCTCAATCTGCTGGCCATGCATCTTCTGATGCATGTTATGTTGAGGTCCTCATCCACCAACACCCAAAACCCCTCTCAGCAGAGCTGCTCCTGACTGATTTTCCACCCAGCCTGGATTTGTGCCTGGCCCAGATGAGTACCTTGCACTTGACCTTGTTTGCATGGTCCCACCTCCCAAGCCTCTGTTTTGGTGCCTCTGGGTGACATCCCTTCCTGCCAGCACACTGACTGCACCACACAGCTCAGTGTCAGTGGAAAACTCACTCTGAATAATCTCCTTGCAATTCTGGCATAATAATGAAAGTCTAGAATTTTGTTTCTCTAACAATTTGCTAAGAAAAGCTACCAAATGCCTGCCTAATGGTCCAAAAAACCAAATTCCCAGAACCTCATGCTCTTTTCCACACTGCATTACCTATTCTCTACAGCAGTGGTAGCTTAGTTCTAGAAAGCAGTCTTTATATAATTAAAAAATTACAGAAAATGGTTTAAAACCAAATAGTATACTCCAAGGAATATGGTATACTCCACAAATGGACAACTTCCCTTGTTCCAAAGTCTTTGAAAATCTTAATTTTCTTCTTCTAGCAAGTGAAAAGTAGATTTCAAGGACCACTTAAGGTCCAAAAATGGAAGAGTTAGAGAAGGATCTTCCTCATGCCAGCAGAACATTTTTATAGTGTTTGCTTAAATCAAGCCACTGAAACAATCAAGTTATATGTGTATTTTTAACTACATTACAGCAAGAAGTGAACTTGGTGAATGCACAGGCATAAAAATAAAAAAAAAAATTGTACATATTTTTGAACATGTCATACATGCATGAAGTTGCTAAATACAAGACTGCATACTTCATGCATGCACCAGTAACTCAATCATCAGAAGAAGTACCTTTAAAAGTCTGCATTTTTAATTCTTCATTTTGCGGATTCTCACATCTGCCTCAAGGGTTTGGTAACACCTCTTATTAGCACCTGAATACTGAATAACATGTTTTTGATCCTGATCTGCTTCTGCTGGGCATTTAATAATATTTAATATGTTGGTTAAGTATAGCCATCTAGGGGTTTTGTCAGTAAAAGAAAATAAAAGCTTAATTTCAAAGATGTTTGTGGTTGGCTCTTCCCACAAATTCTTACACTTTCATTTTTATACAGTTCTAATGATCTTGTCCTTTTTTGTTTATATGTTTCTTGGACAAAAGCATTATAATGAAACTGTTCTAAAGTTCTTTTACTTTACTGTCCTCTGCCTTTAGAAAAACACCCCAAATTATAGTCCACGTCACCGTTTACCTACACACAAGAAAAAATGTATGAAGAGCCATGAGACCCCTGACTTTCTTCTTACCTCCAAGTTAAGATAAAGTTCAGCTAAGAACAGCACAAAGGCATGAAATTGTTTTCTAGTAGTCTCATCCCCTTTAGTAGCCTCATCTCTGTTTTCATACTCCGTTCGACACCTGTAAAAATTGAAGCACAATTACACCATCTGTAGTCATTCCAACATATGTAACACGCTACTCATTTAAAGGAATGCTGAGAACTTATGAACTGCATGAAAGTTGAATGCTGGGATGTATGATCTGTGAAGGGAATGAGAGGCCTTCACAAAGAAACAGTGGATTTGTATCATTTTAGAGAAACACATGATTAGATAATTAGGTCTTTAAGCACTGAGATATCTAATGCAGTAAAATTAAATAGAACAACTTACAACATGTAGAAATTAATAGTCACACAATTTTTACAACTGGAATACGGGTCCAGGATGTGCAACAGTAACACAGGCAGCCAATGCCCGAAGAAATGAAGTAGACATGTTCCCCTCTTCAGGATGCTTACCACATTGTCTTAGATGCCTTTACACTTATTTGATTAATTCTTTATCTTGCCATGTTAAGTGACAGTAATACATCATTCATGACACCCAGCTGAGTGGTGTTAAGTGACACTCTAGAGAGAAGGGATGGCACAGGACAGGGACCCTGACAGCCTTGAGAGGTGGCCTTGTAGCAACTCATGAAGCTCAACGAGGCCAAGTGTAAGGTTCTGCACACAGGTCAGGGCAATGCCAAGCATTAAGAACAGCTTTGGCAGGGAAGTGGTTGAGAACAGTCCTGCCAAGAAGAACTTGGGGTGTTGGGTGATGAGAAGATCGATGTGACCGTGCATGCTTGAAGCCCAGAAAGCCAATTGTATCCTGCATCCAGAGCCCTGTGGGCAGCAGGGGAGGGAGGGGATTCTGCCCCTCTGCTCTGCTGAGACCCACCTGGAGCACTGCATCCAGAGCTGGGGTCCTCTGGACAGGGAGGACACAGACATATCAAGTGAGACCAGGGAAGGCCAGTAAGCTGACCATAGGGCCTTAGCATCTCTCCTACGGGCACAGGCTGAGAGAGCTGGGATGCTCAGCAGGGAGCAGAGAAGGCATCGGTGACACCTTGTAGCACCTTCCAGTACCTAAAAGGGGCCCCAAAGAGTGCGGGAGAAGGACTTTTCACATGGGCATGTAGTGACAGGACAGAGGGGAATGGCTTCAGACTGACAGAGGACAGGTTTAGACTAGATATTAGGAAGAAATTTTTTACTGTGAGTGTGGTGAGGCATTGAGACAGGTTCCTAGAGAAGCTGTGGATGCCTCATCCCTGTGTTTAAAGCCAGGCTGTATGGGGCTCTGAGCAACCTGGTATAGCGGAAGGTTCCCTGCCCATGGCAGAGGGGTTTGGAACTAGATGATTCTTAAGGTCTCTTCCAACCCAAATAATTCTATGATTCTATAATTTAAATATAAATACAAAAATAGGATTAACATACTATGGCAGTGAAGTAATTTTTCTAGTATTTAAAACTGTGCCAAAAATACACAAGTTTACATAACAGTACAAAAACAAAATTAAAAAATATTTCAGATAAAAGGAAACCCAGACAAATGTTAATGTATTCTGAATGATTGTGTAATGGATAGAGAAAAAGTGCAGAAACTGAAAAGTCTTAAGAGTTGAAATACAAAGTTTCAGGTAGAAACTTTGTTGAGAAACAGAAGATTGTTGTGGTGCACCAGTTTAGTTGTTCTCTTGCACTGGGTGATTGGGAATTTGCACAGAATAGTTTTGTATTGCACTGTATAGCTTATTTTATATCATGTGGTTTGTTACCCCGTTTCCCCATCACATGGCCTTTCCCTCACCTGTCCAGGTACCACCTGGTGGTCTCTACCCTGGGTTACCCCTCCCCTAGCCACTCCTCACTGGTGTCCCATTGGCTGTGGACCTCTCCCTCTGTCCCCATCCCAGGGGTATAAAAGCTCCCTTCTGCCAAGGAACGCTCTCTTTTCTCCCATGAGTTTGTCTGCCTGATGTGTGTCTTGGAATAAAGGACAATGTTTCCCACGTGGAGGAGAGCACTTCTATGAAGTGTCGTGTGGGCAAAGGTCTATAGCTAGTCGGAGTGGACACCAACAGCCCAGGAAACACGTTTCTTCAGAAGATGACCTCTCTGTGGTCACATTATTAGGTTGTTTACCTGCACACATGCTTCCCGCTCCTTATTTCATCCATATTAGCAAGCAAAACATCAGCAACTTTAAATTAAAAGCTTCAGGGTGCTAACATTAATGTTATCCATTGGGTTTGCTTCAAAACCAAGAACCAGAATGTGCAACATTAACAGGGATTTCCTATCATGTTCAAGTAACACACAGTTAAAAAAAAATCATAAGCAATGACTTTGAAACAAAAAACAAAACAAACTAACAACAATAAAAAAAAAGAAAAACAACAAAAAAAGAGAGAAAAATGAGTGTTTTCAGCTTCTGCATGCCCTGGTTTTAGCTTTTGCTTCACAGTGCTTGCACTACATCAAGGACTCTTCTGCTTCTCACTGCAGCCCACCAGCGAGGAGGCTGGGGTGAAGATGAGGGGAGACACAACTGACCCCCTGCTGACCACACAGATATTCCATCCCATGTGCCCTCATGCTCAGCATATAAACCAGGGAGAAAGCTGCCTAGAGGCCACTGCTCAGGAACCGTCTGGGCATTCTGGGTGGTGAGCAACTGCATGGTGTGTCTCTTGTTTTATATATGCTAATTCTTTTATCATTGTTACTATATTCACATCCTTTTCTGTCCTAATAAAATACCTTTATCTCAACTCATGAATACTAGTTTTTCTGTCCCCAAGTCTCTTGCCTATCTCATTGGGAGGGTGGGAGAAGTGAGTGAGGGGCTGCAAGCTGTTTAGCTACCTGCCAGGTTAAACCACAACATTCCACTCAGGATAAAAGACCATTGAAATACACTACAGTAGAAGTTCATCACACTTTTGCTGGAATAAGTAAAAACTTTTCAAATAAGAGGCAAACGTGAGGCTTAGAAAGCCAGACATCTTTAAACAAAAGGCAAATTTCTGAAGAATTTAGGGAAAAAAGTGTCCAAGACAGTACTCCTTCAAATATCATGCAATAATATTTGAGAGGATATGTAACAATTTAAAAATGTTGCATTTTTTGTCAACTACAAAGTCTAATCATCATTAAGCTGTGGTCCCCAGAAATCTGAAGTAACTGAAACTGAAGAAATTTATCCTCCTGGATTTTATACAACTATTTCATAGATACAAAGTCAGTTAGCCCATCAGTGAATAAACCTTACACAGCAATTGGAGGCAAAAACCAAAAGCACTAATTAAAAAACCACAATTAAGTAAGTATTGGCAAGAGTCAAAGGACAAGGATAGTACCTATATGTGCATTTAGTATACTTTAAAAGTAGATTAACTTTTCAATTTGCACTATTTTGGGGATCAGTCTAATATACTCAGTTCAAAAGAACCCACAGAACTTCAAACGGAGTCTTATTTTTATGTTTAAAAATATAAAAATATTTTAAGATGCATGTGTTCAATACTCAGCATGTACCTGTGTTTCGATACTCCTCAATCTGTACTACTATTTTAAATAAGTATCTCTTCGTATGCAACAGAAAGAGTTAACACACAAACCAGGAAGATGTAACTGAAGAGACTAACAGGCTTAAAGTGACTGATACTGACCTCTGAAGCAGCAACTGTCGGAAGTTCCCACTTTGTGGACTAATGGTTAGGTGGTGAGATAGATAGTTACACAACCGTGCTCCCATGTATGAAAAATTTGGGACAGATGTGGCCTTCCAAAATAAAAACGTAAACATAAATTATTTATAAAAGTAATGATTACGCTATCAGAAAATATTTTTAGAAGTTTTTTTGAAATCCATACTTACTTAATGTTGATCAGACAACTCAAGAGCAGAAAATTAATGTTTAATAATTACTATTTGCCGTGTTCACTTTTGTATTGCTTTAGCATGTTGATATATGCACTTCACCAGAACTTAAAAGTTCATTACACTGTGATTCTGTGGCTCTGAGAAAACAACCACCATTATGTCATGTGTCTTCCTGTAACTCTACTTCTGCACTGTGACATACAACTGAAAAGTGTCTCAAAGTCACTTACAGACTGCTTATACGAAAAAAATCAACCCTGGACATTAAGACACTTTTTCAAGAACACATACTTTCTGAAGGAACAATGAGTACATAGAAACAACATCATAAAATTTATCTTCTTTTAGTCTATAAGCTATTTATTCCATAATGTCTTTTTGCCATGTTTAATACCCAAGGGAAGAGTGTAAGAACAAGGCAAGCAAAGAGAAATACTTTCTCCCATACATGCTCCAGCAATCTACAAAATTGCAAACTTCTGAACAGCGAGTAAGACTAGACCATTACAATTAACAGCTCTTGATGTATTCTTTTTATTTTAAAACAAGTCCTGTTACTGCTGAACATCTACACTTATGTCATCTAAGAAAAGGTGATAGGAATGATATTGTGCAAAAATCTTCTGTTTTCATCTGATAATTCAAACTTTAAAGAGGTGGAAATTTATTTTGCTCACTCATTTTCAAGCTTCCTCTAACAACATCTGAGTTTCAGATTATTTCTCAGATGTAGTTTCAGTGAAAAGAGTTTCTGCTGCAAATAACTTCACCAGCTCTGCCCAAAAGAAAATGAGGATACTACGAATTCAGTAAACTTCTCCTTTGGCTTTATAATCTTTGAATATCTTTTTTACATCTTGATCATCTATCAGTGCTACAGATATGTTTGAGCTGTTCCAACATGTTTAAAAAAAAAAAAAAAAAGTCTTGTTAATGCAATTGTATCTAGCTACCTCTTACAGGTAGAGAAAAAGACATAATTCTACTATGAGAATAGAGTTGCTGGAAAAAAAAAATGAAGTGTCTTTGGAAGATACAGCAAGTTTAAGTAATTAAGACAGACAAATGGAATTCACTTTCCAGTAAGGGGCAAGTGAACTACCAAAAAAAGACTTTGATGCTGTGGTTCAATCAGTTGCTCTGACTAGAAGAGGTACCCCTATTTTTAATACTTTTTCCTAACAAAAAAAACCCCAACCCAACAAACCCCCAGCAAACAAAAACTTTAACACCCAAACACCTACACAAATTATTTAAACCTCATCTACATTATCTTCCTTATTAGTTGGTCTGTACTTGTGGTTGCACCAAACACTGAAATAGGTATTATGATCTGGCATAGCGCACACAGACAAAAAAAAAAAAATTCCACCCTATATCTTCCTAATAATCAATCATTACATTGCAAAATCATATTCTTGGAACAATTATTGCTGGTAGCTTTATCTCCAATTCAAAAAAGTCACAATCTGAGCATGAATGCTAATCTACCAATGCGTATCTTCAGAAACTGTAGTTGTTCTAACAGGAACAATCTACTGCATTAACTAGACAACAGTAAAGGTTCTTAAACCATGAATTCAGTGTCCAGCTTTTGGAAGACAAAAGAACTGGCACTTCATTTTCTGCAAACATAAATAAGAATATAATTACTACTTATAGACAGGCTAACATACTTTACACAGAGGTGATGGGAAGACCCTACAGGACTTGGGTTTACTTCATTTCAGTATATTTCCTTTACAAACCTAGCATCTGTAAATCTGCTTAGTTGGGTCAAATTTGCATCACTGAAGCAGATGCTTATAAGTTACAGCAATTTTAATTGTTTTGTGAAAAACCTGGAGACAAATGCTTGACCTTCTGCTCAAGACAGAAGAATAGTAAGTATAGTTGGCTTTCCTTAGACACTATGCCAGCCTAACACACAGGGTATCTAAAATTAATGCTTCTGGATACTAGCATAGCTTTTTGTCATTAAGCTTTATTTTTAATGTAAACTTTTCATGTAAATTTTTCAGACTAACATTGAACTTCTGAGTTGAGGAAGCCACAGTAAACCCTAATGCTGAACTTGTTTTTAAAGGGGGACAGAGAGGAAGAGGCAACACTGAAGACTTCTATTAAATGCAAGTCAATGTATTTAAAATAAATAGCATAAATTCTTCTTTTTTTCCCTTGCAATAAACTATCCTCCATGGGTTCAAATAAAGAATGGGAAAATGATGCTGCCAAATGCAGCACAGGTGATCATCATGTCTAACGAAACCGGTCTCAGTCAAATTTGCATTAATTCTGTATAATAATGAGAAACTTGAGACTCTACAGTTCTGTGCAATGACCAACCAGTCATTCTACTTCTACATACAGCAGATTAAAATATTCTGTTGGTATCTTCACTTAAGTAAAAGTCTGCTTTTTTACTTTTATTCAAGGTAGAACTTGAAAGCAACAAACATATGAAAGACACCCAACACAATAAAGAGCAAGCCAGAAGCATGGCTTCCTTTTCTGCAGCGAGCCCAAAGACAGTAACAGCAGCTCATTTGCTAAGCAACACATATTAAGCTGTTCTTTCCAATGGCTCCCTCAATTAGTGCAGAGTTCAGCTCAAGGCCTCTGTCCTCATTTCCATGGCCATCAATGGGACTGGACCTTGCTACCCTTAGAGGAGCTTTTATTTTCTCCAATTATGCTGTTCTGAAATAGGTATATTTCAAACAAAGAAAAAAGACTGGCATTAAAGAGGTATTTCCCAAAGGATGGCGCGTACAGTAGGTATGAATTTAATTTTTTAAATAACTAGGAATTAGAAGTATCTTAGGACAAGGAAGAATATTTTTTTCTTGCACAAGAGAATAAAAGTGTAAAATATTGCATAAGTTTCTTCAATCTTTACTAACAAAAATTAAAATAAAACTTCCTTTAATTAAGTAGCATAATTTCAACTGTAGTGCATTACCCAGGAGATACAAACACACAACAAAGGAAACAGCAAACTGGGAAAATGTATAGAATTCAGGCATCCCAAATCTGAGCTACTATTTCAATTTACTAAGCAAAATCCTTCCCTATGTATTTCAGGCTAAAGGGAAAAATATCATTAAAATACTACATTGATACAATTATGTAACAAATGCTGGAATGCCTGTCTTGGACACTGGGTAACAAAGGCATAATGACCATCTTGTAATACATTACCTGCTGATAGATGAGTTCAACAAGTTCTTGTAAAGCTTCATCTGCAATAACCCAGCCGTTCAGTGTTTCAGCAAACTGTTCTATTTCTGTTTCAAAACAACCTGGTTGCTCCGTGAGGTGGTTTAGGAAGCCTTGTACATATTCTGCCAGGGTCAGATAGCCGTCACATCTATCTTCAAAGGAGGAATCCTGCAGAAGTGAAAGAATATGCCAACTACTTAAAAACAACCTTGAAGAACTCTTACACTTTCTGTCTCCAGAAATAACCATACAGCCCTTAGTTTTGAGTCTCTGTATACTTGATAGAGATCATTTTACACAGTTCACTTCAACATTTTTACAGAGCATAGACCCCCAACACCTCCTGGAGTGCAAACTTCAGAAGCCTCTTGCAGTCCAATCAGCTTAAGACCAGGTAAAGTATTTTTACAGACATTAGGGTCTTCCAGTAAAATACATTAAAAAATGGATTATAAAGAACTAAGTTTCCCAAGCTGGTTGTGAGATTAACTAACAAACCAAGTAAGTTTATCTGTTAAGGGTAGAACTACCAAACTGAGGCTCAACACCCATTCCTGGTATAGACAATAACTGTACTGTGGATTTATGAATCGCAGAAGGAAAAAGAATGGAAAATTTGAAACAAAGTACTTTGACCTTAGATAGCATGTATAGTGCTCCAAAAATATGCAGAAGGGAGAGTAATTAGAGAAATACAATAAATACATAGTACTGTTCCCATGTAAGAAGTATAATCAGAAAAACTGCTATTTTAAAGTCAGGGTATTTGTGTCTCTTGGCAAAAGATGCAAAATTACAAGGCATGAAATGAAACTATTCAAATTGAATTGCATTAACTTACAGCTACGGAGGTTTAAAACCAGACAAGACAGTAAACACAACTGCTCTCTAAACAGAGGAGGGGCTACCCAGTATCACTTTATTGATATTTATGCTCCCACCAATGAAACAGCTTTTGTCCATTCAGAAATTAATCTATGTGAGAGTATCTAAAGCCAATACTGTTCCAGATGACTATAATGCAGGCATATGAAGAGAATAGCAAAGAAAGCTGCATACTTTGTAATGTCACTAGTAGTAACACAGTACAAGTAAATAGTCTTGTCACACTACACAAAAGGTTGTGTAAATCATCTCATATATTTCAGAAATGCAAGAAGGAGCCTGAAGTGGTACTTCTAAAAAAAAATGACTTACAATTCAAGACCTAAGAGTAAGGTAAAGAAAATCAGAATTCTCAACTGTTCTACAATTTAAAAATGCTTAAAGGGTATCTAGGGTAAAGCTGAGCTAAAATGATAAAGCATTTTTTCTTTACTTAGTGTACATAAATATATCGACAAGGATTATAAATATATTGTCCCCCTCCCCCTTCTACTCCCTCAGTAGGGATTTTTCATGACTTTGTCTTCTAAATGCCTGTCCCTCCTCTACCGAGAAGCAACATGGATCTGTGAAAAATTTCTAGCTGGATATGAATTATGAGAAAGACAAGATAGACATTGTTGAAAATCACATCCTGATATTAATTTCATGACTTGTGAAGAATGTGTGGGTAAAAAAAGCAGACTTTCCAAAATCATTCAGACATATCATAATTAGTGAGGTGGGACATACATCAGTGTAACAAAAGTAAAATATATTTTAGTAGAAGATATGCCAGTTAATAACACTAAAGACTAAACAACTTAATGTTGCCCACCAGAAATACAAAAAAAAAATATAGGTTTATGGAAATAAAGGCAATTATTACTATATAAAGCCTTTGACAACCTAAGGACTGGAGCATAGGCACTTCAGAGGTCCTTTCTAACCTAAAGTCTTCTATGATTCTAATGGCTTGGAGCTTACAAATCCAAAAAGTAAAGGCTAACAGGCCTATGTATGACTTGCTACATACTCTGCTTCACTAAAGAAAAATCAACATTTATAAGGCAATTTCAAACAGCCCAGTAGGAGCTCTGTACAATAAATTTAAAACTAGTTTGTTTCACAGAACTATTACATTACTGTGCAGCTACTGCAGCTTAATCACATACAGCTGAACTAGCATCTCTCCAAATAACCTGTCTGAAAACTCTCCAGCCAGGCTGCAGAGCATGCAATTGCTGTAGCTAGTAAAAGAAGCTGCTTCTTCTGACAGCCATCAGATTGTTACAAGATCCTCCTTCAGCAGAGAGGAAGGTATCTTCCTCTCACACTCTCCTGGCAAGAATCCAGCCTTGGAGAACATCCTTGTGTTGTAAGGGATCCCAGTACCATTTGGTATACTGGTGTCCCTGTTGTATACTCTTATTTTCAGTTTGTAATTAAGAGCCTAAACACAGAGAATTAAACTCTATATCATATTCATCTGTCTGTACTAAATATGCAACTTCAAAAGAAGTCTAGGTTTCAGTAACTACTCCAGGGAACTGAACAAATGGGAGAGAAAAATGAGTACTTTGGAAATTCAGAAATATACATGTTTATTAAAATTTGCAATTGATACTTTAAAAACTAACTAAATTTAGCCCAATAGCTTCTAGACATAAAGTACTTGCATGTCTCATTGTCAGATTTTAAAATTTAACATAAACGTAGAACCATGCAATGTATCAAGCCAAGGAAAACAAAGCAAATGGCTCTTGATTATTTTTCGAGGGGAGTTGGCTAACAGAAGCCTGTAAGATTACACATCACTACAAAGTTATAATTTAAAGCCACAAAAGTAAACTAGAAATTTTCAGTTAATTTCAATAATTACTCCATCAACCCAGTGCTCCAATTTCTTTCTCTAAACTTTGATAGCTATAGGGTGGGATCCTGGATTATTCCAGCAAAAGAGTAACTGATGAAAAGATTACAGATTTGGCTCTCTTTTATTATGTGTCAGTTCATGAGTTTACATACAGAAGAGTAGAAGGCTAAATTGGTACTAGAATTCCTGTGATATACATAAAGATAAAACAAAGTCTATAGCAAAGATTCACAAGACAAATCTGCTCTTACTCAGTTTCCTTATATGTGCTCATTGCTGTTTTCCTTTATCTAGTAAATTCACATTTCCACTTAAGAACTTAGTCACTAGTAACTTATCATTGATTTGATTTTTCTTCAGACTTCTTAGGAACAAGATTTTCTTCCTTTTAGTTAAATAAACTCAATAAGTTTCCAATAAAGTTATTGCAAACGCAAGCACAAAAAGACTGTTGCATATGCAAAACCACCTATTCATGCTGAATGAGGTTAAGTGGCACTCTTATGCTTGGTCTTCTGATGGAAATGACTGAAGTTGAAAAAAGCAGGAGGGAAGGATTATGGAACCCTGAAATAACAAAAATCTCACTCCCAAAGCTATGAAGTAAGAATGTCATTATGCCCATCTGATGGAGTGACAGCCATATTATTATCATACAGCCATCCCAAGGAAGAAATCTGGTGTTTCCTACTGGAAATTCAAACCTATCTAGTCACTAGTTCTGCTGCAGACATCTACAATTTCTATGGGTTGGACTCTGTATGCAAACAGAGAATTCCATGGAGACCTTTCTTCAAAGTCCTGGTAAAGTTTTTCTGAAAATTCTAGAAAACCTTGTAAGCTGTACTCCTTAAACTATCTTCACAGGTAATTGATAGTTTTGAGCATCCAAAACTGGAAAGACTGGAAATTAACTGACCTAACAGCAAATGTTACATGGACAGACACAGTAATTATAATGGTGCATAATCAAACAAGAAATCAACACTATTTTAAAAATAATAAATGTTTTTTGCTACTGCAAAATAACTGTGTATTTTATGAGGGAAATACAATATTTCATATCTAAAATGTCAGGGATCTTTACAAATGGAAGCTATAAAGTAATAATTTTAAGTAAAAAAAGAAGTTTCTCAAAACTCTGTTTTGATTCAAATTTTAAAACTCAGGGTCAAAATCAGTAAGAGTGCTAAAATCAGTAATGTGTGCAGTAACTGTAGAGTGTGCTAAATTTTTTATGACAATTAAGCCCAGTTTATAAAATTCCTTCATTTACTAAACTAAAAAAATAACAGATTTTCTAATAGTGAAGAAGGAAAGAAAAATACCACTGCTTTATGTGCATCGTATTCTAATTAGATTAAAAACCCTGCAACATGTTTTGCTAATGTTTTCAGAGGTAGTTTTATTAATAGATGAGTCACATTCGTAGCATATTCCAACATAGCAACCAGGAACTCCCACATGCTTGTGTGTTTTTGCAAAACAGCTGAAAAGCAACATTGTTGTCATTGAAACTCCACAGTTTTAAGAGTGCACTATGAATGCTATTGGAAAGGTTGTTTGGGTTTTATCTCTGTCTAGAAACTGAAACTCTTTATTTATAGAGAAAACATGTAACCAGTGCTGGGGCAAAGAAGATATTTTTTCTCCCAGATTATCAATCCACCAAAACATGTTCACACTGGCATTGTTAACAGTATATTGGCTGCGGCGTTTATTATACAGGACAGTAATTACATTCAGTAAACAGGCAAAGCTGGTAACACTAAGGTAACATCAATTTTACTGGTGAGGAAAAGATTTCAAAATACCAAACCACCATATTCAGCATTCAAATGAAATATTTTTCTACCAGTTATCAAAAATAAATTTGATTCAGCATCCCCCTTTTTTTTAATCATTGATTGTACTTGTAAAAGTTCCCACCTGTTTAGATATAGTACCAGAGTCTGACTGTTTGTGTAACAAAAGGATATGCCAAGAATTCACAGAGATCTGCTCTGGAGTAGAATTACTGAAGCAGTAACATGGAAGACAATGGAGTAGAAAATAGAAGTACCAGCTGTTATTACATGATGCCTACAAACTGATCTGAGTCTGGCTGGAAATACATTTCTTACTAGGTGTGTTGGTAGGTAACTGGTAGGAATGAGTCTAACACTCTTTTTGCCCTTTGGTGATACAACACCACTGATGACACAGGATGGTACAGCAGCTTAGGCAGTCATGACGAATGGTACCTGTGGCACAGGAAATTCAGGAAAGGCAAAGCCTGTGCTCAGAAAAGCTAAAGTTCAAGCTTTCTCTCCCAGTGAATTCTGCATAGAAGTGAAGTTACGCTTTCATTTAAAATGCAGTATAGATATAACTACAACACAGGTAGTCACCAAAAAAACCAGCTTACTCTCATGTTGAATGCAATCAACGCCTGGTGTAGTCAAAAAGGAATATGGTTATGCACAGCAAGCTTTGGCAAAATATCTGGCAGCATGTACATCATAATATTCATCCATTATCACATAACATCCTGGCTGGATCTCTGGAGATTATAATCAGAATTTTTGCAATCCCTTCAGCAAATACAGAATTCAAATTATTTGACATAAAAGATTTCAAGAAAATGTTATAAATTTGAATACAAGGAAATTGGCACATACTAAAGAATGAAGTTAAAACACTCACTGTGAAATTCTGATTGAAGTTCTGGTTGTACCCTGATGGATAAAATTCAGGTGCTTTAGCAGACAAGTTTGATGTTGCTACAGGATCCACAGCTAACTGAGGTTCAGCCATTTCTGGTCCAGAATCAAGAACTGAAACTTTATCTTGTGATCCAGATGAAATTCCCGTCTTTTGCAGGTGTTCTGAAAAATTTTTGTTAACAGCTTGTCTTAGAAATCACTAAATTAGTATGTATTCACACAGAGTAAACACAGAATATATATGTTTGGGTTTTTTTACTTAAAAGTATGGTTTTACCATAAATATACTTCCTTTAAATACACAGGCTCACTTTAAATACATAAGTTTTATTGTTTATTCTTAGATATGGATGTTCATTTAAGCACACTCCACATGTCTTTGTACATGATAGAAAGTAAACAGTGCTCTTGTGCAGGTGAAAAAAAAAAAGGGGAGATGGGAAAAAAACCTTATTTTCAATGTAAACACATTGTCTAAGAGTAAATCTGCTTATATTACATTTGATTATCCTGTAATTTTTCACAGATTTTAGATACAAATACAAGATACATTTGGAACGTCAATAAATGACAGACGTTACTGATTTTGACCAACACTTATTTTCAACAAAATGCTCAAGGAGACTTGGCCATTGTTGTTCTTATATACCATTTGCCAAAACATGCAATTGAAGCATTTTTAAAACACTATTTTCCAAACCTCTCTTTACAGACTAGCTCATAAATTTATTGAAAACAGAACCTGATACCTACCTGAAAAAGCTGACCAACAAACATTGCTTTGTGTTACTGTTGGGTTTATTTTTTTTTGCAAATAGGTTGGAATTCTTCAGTAGGGGGAAGGCTGAGACCATCTGCAGTCAGATTAACAGATGGATAAAAACCACACTCAGATGTAGGTAGGGGCACAAAAGGGGGGAAAGGACAGAGAGTATTGCAAGCAGCTGCAATACATCATCACACCTTTACCTGGTTCAGGTCCATCACCACACATGAAGGGGTGAAAAAAATAGACAAGTACATATGAAACATTATTTTAAAAATTACAGTAGTGCCATCTTGTACTTAAAACCAGTATGCTGGTTTCAACTGGGATTAAGTTAATTTTCTTCTTGCTAGCTAGTACAGCACTATGTTTTGGATTCAGTATGAGGCAAATGTCAGTAACATGGGTCTCCCATGTTCTGATGGTAAGCAGATGCACAAGAAGCAGGGAGGCAGCAAAGACTGGACAGCTGACCCGAACCGGCCAAAGGGATAATCCACACTACAGAATGTGACGCTCAGTATATAAACTGGGGTGGAGTTGGCCATGAGTTGTCAATTGTTGCTGAGGGACAGGCTGGGCATCGGTCAGCAGGTGGTGAGCTGACTGCGCCGCGCATTAGATGATTCTCCTGGGTTTTCTTCCTCTTACCCCTCCCTCGTCACCCAGGTGTCCGCCGGCCCCCAGGGCTCAGCACGCTGGCCCGGCCTCAGCGCGGTGCACGCATCGCGCACCCGGGAACAGGACCACGCTCCCGAGGGCAGGGGCCGGTGCCCCCGCGGCGGGCGGGGAGCTGCGCAGGTGCCCCGCGAAAAGAAAGAGCGGGGAGAGCAGCCCGTACCTGCCATCCCGGTGCCCAGGGGCGCCGTCTTCGGAGGCCGCAATGGTTCCTGCTGCGGGAAGAGGCCGCCCGGCTGGTGCTGCTGCTCCTCGGCCGAGCCCGAGCCGCGGGACGCGCAGCCCGCGGGGCGGTCCCCGCCGCCGCTCTCCGGCGCGCCGGACCCGCGGCCCCGGCCGGCACCCGGCGCGCGGGGCGGGCGGGCCTCGGGGGGCGGGCGGAGCGCGGGCCCGCCCCGGCCCCGCACTTTCGGTTTCACCCCCGCGCAGCGTCGCGATGGCCGCGCCCGCCCCGAGCCCGCTGCAGCCTGGAAACGGCGTTTCCAAAGGCACCGTATTCCCTGCGACTGCATCTCCACGGTAACCAGCAGGGCGAGGTGACCGTGGCAGGGCCAAGGCTTCAGCTACAACAGGAGACCTGCAGCCACAGGTGCATCAAGCCACGCTGTGCATACACAGCTGTTTACACCACAGAGGGATGGAAAAGCTACAGGCGAAATTCTAAATTTAACCCCATAAATTTGAGGCTCCATCGTGACCATATTATTGTACGGCTAGGGCTACTTCATAAAACTATGTTTGTTCAGAAAAATATATTTTCATGCGTAATTTACGCATGATGTGGTAACAAATGCTCTTCTGATTTAATATTGAACAACCACCTTCCACACCAGCAGGAACCAACTGAAGAACATGGTCCGTGTAATGCATTTTTCCTAATATTATCACATAAACTGAGAATGGTTCAACTCACATGTCCATTTACAATTTAATTAATCTACTCTTCAATTTCAGTCCAAAGTCTTGCTCTCATTGTTTTGCAAACTCACTATCACAATCAGCTTTCAAGATGAGGAGGGCAAGTGTAATCTGGTGTGTCACAAATACCCCCTCAACTAATGCTGCTGTGGGAGTTTATATTTTGTCTCCCTGGACAGTCTGGTCTGTGCCGTCCTTGCCACTTGTTCTTGCCACAAAAAAAAAATCAAAAGATTGTGTGGCATTGGGTGCCGCTCTGTTCACCACTCATGAAGGGGTGAAAAAAATAGACAGGTATGTATGAAACATTATTAAAAAATTACGATAGTGTTGTCTTGTATTTAAAAAAAATCCAATTGGATTGTAAAATGGTGCCTTTAGAAGTCAGGTACCTATTGGGTTTATTATTACATGTTACCATTTTCAATTATTAACAGGGGAGGGGCAGGGTATAAAATATTAGCTCCCCAAGGCATGAATTGGACTGATTTTTGGCAAGATAAAAAGGTGGCCAGACATTAAAGGTGTCACAACTTAAAATTAATGAGGCTCTTGGGGAAACTGTTCCTAGGCAACCCTTCTGGAAATATAGAATGGTAAACTAACAAATTTATATTCTGCAACTGGAAAGTGAGCTGATGCAGGATGTTTTGAATGAGTCTTAAAAAAAACATTATAATATTTCACTTGTGTTAACCATTCTCAAAACTAATTCAAGCAGCATTACCAATTCTATAAAGATCACAAATTAGCGATTAAATTTCTCCATTAAAAATATTCAGTGTTCTTGTGTTATCAGCTCCAGTTTTAATGCCTATATTGTGACCTCTGTCAACATCTGTAGACTTTGCCTTACCAGGAGGAGAATTAAAAGCTTACATTAATGTGAAGAAAAATTAAATTCTCCATCATTATATACTAATGGAGAATATGCCAATTTTGAATATGCCAATCTTTCGAGTTAGCAAATCTCATTCTTTAAAGTTTACACCTAAGAGGAAATGAGTGCCTTAAGTTATTGAACAAGACAAGTTTTCACTTTTGGACATACATGTGAATTCTTTTCACTTAGCAGACGTTTTATGTTATATTAATTTAATAACCGTTTGGCAACTACTTACCATTTAAGGTGGAATGTGATCCCAAATCCATATTTTTCTTACAGATGCACTACTTAAGTTTGCATGAACACAGCCGCGTTTGGCTAGGAGCCCAATTTCCTCTCCCTAGTGTAGACACCTAAAACAAAATTAAGAAAAATAATCAGGTAGTTAATTCCAAAATAACAAGCCCCAAATACTGCCTACAACAATACACCCCTTCAGACTGCTTGGCATTATGCTTAGATGGTTTTGGCCTGAGTAGCTGAAGTCCTGTGAATTACTTCAGGCCTCTGAGGCCACACAGCAGAACCCCTGAGATCACTAAACTAGACAGACCTAACCTAAGCACCCAATGACTGGATCAAAACTTTCACCAAATACAATTATGAACACTTCTAGGCAGCCACTAGGAGATACCTGCTTTGTCCTAAGTGTCTTACTTAATAACCTAAAACTTAGCTCAGAACCAAATCCACACACACACCTTCAGTGCCTGGTGCCAAGAAGTCACACACCGTAACCTTTTCACCATTCAGAACACAGGCATTTTTACATGAACTAATTTTTTTTAATGCTGATAACATATTTTTTAATTGGAAAAAAAAGGGAGAGAGCTGGTTCTAGCTTTTGAAATGTAATTTATTGTTAATAGCTGGAATTATTCCAATCCCTACCACACTGATGAGGCATGTTGTTGTAGGAGTCAATGGTTATTGAGGCCAAAACATAAACCACAGGCAAAATCTATAGCTCTAAAGCTCTACAGATTTCACACAAGCTTATTTAAAAGCATAGTAAAGAACATTTAGTAGTAGAGAATCCTCTTAATTATTTTCAGGGTAACTCTCATGTTTTCAGTGCTTAACTTTACTTGCTAAGTCACCATTTACAAGTCTGGAAGCTGTGTCATCTCCAGGAGCAACACGTAGTTTGCATGAGCAGCTACACAGACTTCAGTAAATTTAAAAAAAAAAAAAACCAAAAAAAAAAACCACCAAAAAAACCCAAAATACGCCTCATACATGGAACCCACAGATCGTGTGAAGTAAGACAACATATGCAGGACGGTGTGAAGACAATGTACGGAGGCAATAAGCAGCGTGGCCGGCTGTCCTCTGGAACTGCCTCTCCATCCCCATGTGCTCTTCATCCAGCCATGTATTATTTCAATAGAATCACAGGAGCACAGAATCGATTAAGTTGGAAAAGACCGCTGAGATCATCGAGTCCAGCCTCTGGCCGAACATCAGCACGACAATCAGACCACGGCACTGAGTGCCACGTCCAACCTTTCCCTAAACACCCCCAGGGACGGCGACTGCACCACCTCCCCGGGCAGCTCATCCCAATACCAAATCACCTTTTCTGTGAAGAAATTCCTGCCAATGTCCAAAGTTGACACAGCTCCCCATCTTCTGTGCCCGTACTGCGCCTACCACTCCGACATCTCGCTGCTTTATCACGCATTTAAGAAGTAACAATAAGGAAGAGGACACCACTTACGTGCTATGGCGTTAGCCCCACGTCCAACACGCGCGTTTCAGCACGTCTCCTCGCCAGCCCCGACCTTCGCCTCCCCGCCGTGGCCAGCCACGCGCGGCTGGGCGCGTCTGTCCCGCTCTCCCGCTGCCGGCGCCGCGGGCTCGGCCAGCCCCTCGCCGCCGCCCCTCAGACGCCGCGTGACGCGGCCGCCCGACCCCCGCGTGCCCCTCAGTCCTTCCGGGTTGGC